CACTTTCAGAAACAACTAACAAGGTTATAAAACTCTGTATGCCACAGAGGTATTGGTTGACACTAGAGATTATATCATGTTTTAGTTAAGCCATATTTCACCATGGGTGCTGTAATGGCACTGAATTAGAAAATTATGGCTGAGGAAATTAAGTATTCTGGCCTATATAGGCAGGGAAATACCTGAGAAAAGAAAATCCAACTTAAATTAAGGATTTGCTGTTTCTGACAGTTCCTTTACCCTTTATCTAATTGACATCTTCCTATATCAGGCTGAAATCACTTGACAACTGAAATTACTCCACTTCCCAGTTGAATACTATTATTCAATAGGTAAGTGGAGCAGTTATTACAGAATCACAGAATGGCTGAGTGTGGAAGGCATATCTGGAGGCCATCTAGTCCAAGCCTCCTGTTCATAGCAGAGTCAGCTAGAGTAGGACACCCAGAGCCCTGTTCAGTTAACTTGTCTATGATCATTTTATGGGAGGCAATGCCAAAGGCACTGCTAACATCAAGATAAACACCCCACTGCTCTCTCTCCTTGCTCACCAAGCCAGTCCTCTCATCATAGAAGTCTGTCAAGTACTTAAGCACAATTTGTTCTTCATAAATCCATGCTGGCTACTCCAGATCACCTTCTTGTATTTAAAATGTTTGGAAGTGGCTTCCAGGAGCTTTTGCTCCATCATATCCAAGGATCAACGTGCTACCTGTAGATATTCCACATCTCCCAGATCTTCTTTCTCATCTTTCTTGAAGACAGGAGTGACATTTCTTTTCTTACCCAAGAAGTCCTCAAAGACCTTTGCCAATCACTATGATCTTTCAAAGATATTTAAAAGTGCCCTTACAATGACAATGGGCAGCTCTCTCAGCACCTATGGGTGGATCCCATCAGGTATGCCTGTCCAATTTATTTAAATGTTACCTAACCTGATCCTCTTTCATCAGAGGATGTCTTCCTTGCTCCAGACTTCCCCACAAGGCTCAGGGAAATCCTGAAAGCAAACCTTATCAATAAAGACCAAGATGAACGAGTCATTGACTACCGTGGCCTTTTAGATATCTTATGTCACCAAGTTTCCTGCCCCATTAAGCAGTGGAATATATTTTCCCTTGTCTTCCTTTTGCAGATAAGGTAGAAGCCTTTTTTGATATCCTTCACATCCTTCACCATATGGGCTTATCAACTGCAGATGGGCTTTGGCCTTCCTAACTACATTCCACATCCTCTGACACTGTCTCAATGTTCCTATTGGATCACTCCATCCTGTTTTCATTTCGTCTTATGCTTCCTTTGTGTGTTTGAGTTTAGTCAGGACCTCCTTGCCCATTCATGCAAGCTGCCTGCCATGTTTGCTTGATTTCTTGGTCACTGGAACAGACCACCAGAGGATGTGACCCATGTGATCCAAATCAAACACTCTCTCTTATCCCTCTCTCATCCAGGGCTGTATCTCATGGGATTCTTCCATGTACATCCCTGAACAGACCAAAGTCTCTCTGTTGAAGCCCATGGTTGTGATCCTCCTATTTGACTTGCTCCCTTCTCTCAGGATCCTGAACTCCATTGTATAATGGTCACTGAAGACATGGTTTCTCCTGGTCTTCACATCCCTGAACAATCCTTCCTTGTTTGCAAGTATGACGTTCAGCAAAACACCTTTCCATATGAGATCCTCAAACAACCTTGCCTGAAAGTTGCAGAAATCTGGATTCTTTGTGCTCTACTGTGCTTTCCTTCCACAGATATCAGGGTCATTAAAGTTCTCCAGGAGAATCAGGACCTTGAAATATGAAATGCCTTCCATTTGAGTGGTGAAGGCCTCACTACTTCCTCCCAGTCAGATGGCCAGTAGCAGGCCCCCAGTATCACCCACATTGATCTGGTCTCTAATCCTGACCAATGTGCTCTCAGCTAGCCCCTCACTTGTCCCCAGGCAGAGCACCATGCAATCCTGCTCCTTGTACATAAGGGGTTACTTGCCCCCCCTTGCAATTGCAGTCTGTCCTTCCTAAAGAGCTTGTACACATTCATCATAACGGTTATATGAGCTATCCCACCATGGTTCTGCGGCCCTGATGATCACATAGGCCAGCAGCTGCACACAGAGCTCTGATTCCTCCTGTTTTTATCCTGCTGGTTCAAAGACGTTTCACATGGACACCCAATCATGTTGAGTTCCCGGACAAATTTGAGAGCTTGCCCAAAATGCTGCCCTCACAGCAGTTCCTTATTCCTTATCCTGGGATGGGCTTCCTTCCATCCTATTTTGTTACAAGATCTCTTTTGTCCACATTATCCTGCTTGCCAACCTTGTTTACTGCTTCCATACTTGTTTGTGAGGCATCTCCTCCATTCCCTGCTGTTCCTAGTTTAAAGCAGTCTTAGCTGATTGGTGAAGGTGCTTTTGCCCCACCTTGTCAGCTGCATCCTGTCTCATCCTTTCAGTCCTCAAACCTCGAGGAGGCTTCCATGGTCATAAAAGCCAATACCCTGATGTTAACACCAGTTGCGCAACAAGGTGTAGGCCTGCAGGTTATGCCACCCGTTCATCATACTTTTCCCCTTCATTTTCAGAATCATGCAGAAAACCACACAGGGCCTCATATCTTTGACTTGACCTTAGCACCATGTAGTCATGCTTGATGTTCTCCAGGTCTCCCCTGGCCATAGAGAGGTGCCAAAGTGAAAGAGAAGCAGGCAGTAGTAGTTGAGGGCTGGTCAATCCCTGGCAGCTTCTCTGTGACACTCTGCAACAGCAAAGCTCACTAAACAGTAGGTTGGGTCAGCAGGTGAACAGATTAGAAGTGTGATTTGTCCCCAAATTATCAGGCAACAAGAAGTCAGCTTATTTTTTTTTCCTTGATATAGTTCATTCTGATGCGAGCATTGTAACCAAGAGTAGATAAGAGCATCATTATTCTTAGTAACTAACTAAACATCTAATATGGTAAGAAACAAAGGCAAAAAAAAAAAGAGGCAAAAAACAATGCTGAATTAAGGGGTTTGTATATTATAAACAGTTAGATGAACAGTGTCGACAGAGTGACAGTTTCCAGAAAGACTTATTTTCTCAGGTATAAGAACAGAGAGCATATATAAGACAAAGCAAGAGCTATATTTTTTAGATGGAGCGTAGCTGATTTTTTGTTTGTTTGTTTTCGGTATTCCGTTTTACTAAGGATATAAGCAAACTGGAGAGATTCTGAAGAGAACAAGATAAAGTTTAGAAACATGACCAAAGAACTGTATTTAGTAAAAAAGAGATGGCTGAAGGCTGATATCCTGAGAGCCTTCCGGTGAGTAAAAGGAAAGGACTACAATGAATAAACCCAGTTTTAAATTAGAGAAATTTGGGTTAGATATAAAGAAAAAGATTACCATTGCAAGGCTAGTTAAGCTCTAAGGTCACTGTGTAAGAATATTGTGCATATATTTTCCAAAGGTAGAAGTGGGTGATTCAGCTATGCTTATTCTGCAGCAAAGCACAGAGATAGATGAGATGAATTTGCAATGTCTCTTTTTACCTGAATATTACACCAAAAAAAAAAAACACCTTTCCATTCTTTTTTTTTTCACAAAGATAGGGGACATGTCTACACTGCTCCCAACAGTTCTTTTTTCCCCTAGTCCTTTATACTGAAGGGGTATCCAATACTTAGCTCATCAGAGAAGATAAAAAGAAAGAAAAGCAGTACTTAACAGGTCAGTAACCGCAGCAGAGGTGTGAAGAAGGCAGCTTTTCCTGGTTACATCCTCTTCCTTTGTAATTAGGTGCTGACAATGTGGTTGATTCTGTATAAAGATGCAAAGATAGTTCTTGCTCTGGGGAGCTCAGCCTAAGAGCTGAAGAATGAAGATCCCTCAGGATTAGCTCTTGCTTCCATGCGTTTTAAAGGGCTGATAGTTTTTCACCATAGACCTATGAATCATGTTCTGAACTGGGACAGAGATAAATAGGAAGTAAGCTATTTCAGGTGAATAGGGACTTTAAAAAAATCTGTGCAATGTATTGCTTTTGGCAGGCAGAAGAACAGTAATATAGAAAGAAGTGCTGAATGGAATGGTTATCATCATGCTAATTAAGGTTAGAAAAGCTCTATCTCTGCTGTCACAGGATAAGTTGATCACTCTATTTAAAATATGAAACCTCATGGTACATCTGGCATTTAAATACTCTGTTAATGAACTTCTATTTTTATTCAGAGCTGCTCAGAAAAAAACATCTCCTGAGCAAATGGTCCCTCCTCACTGGCTAACAGAAAATCAATTTTAGTCATAAACTTAAAAAAATAGGGAAACAAAGAACATTCAAATTAACAATTATTCTTGTAATTCATATTACAAGATATAAAGGTCACTATAAATGTCAAAAGAATATTCCCCACATCATCCAGAGCATAGAGTGGGAAATTTTAAGTTGAATTAAGGATACTATTTTTCCATCTAACTGAAAGAAAACTGGAGGAAACAAATATAAGATTTAAAATATATTAAAAAGTCATGTTAAAATTCAACCATTTTAAAGGTAAGAAATTAGACAACAAGAATATTCCAGATAATTTTAACTATTTCTCCTCCTCCTGTAAATAAGCAAAAGACATTGCATGAAGGCCAATATCTCATTTAAACATTTTATATATCACATAGTACTTTCCTTGCTGAAGACTTTTGACTCTATCTAAATTTGTAGCAAAGGAATAGTATATAGAGCAATATTAGCTTTTGAACTCTCTTGTGATGTTTATTTTCTTCAAATTATATCTACATCATAAATTTGAATGTCATGTGCTTTAAGAGTGCTGAGTCAGCCTTAGATCTAATTTTGTGCCACAAATCTCTTAACAGGTTAATAGACTTTGCTTCTTGGAGTTTTTGTCTACATTCAATCATCTCTGCTTGTATTAATCTAAAAATAGTCAATATTCTAATTATATGTGTATGTAGAATGCTAAATACATATGATTTTTTTTTACATTGCAAAGCAATAGTACCTGCAGGACTAACCTATTTAAAATGGCCTGGGAGAATGTGAAAACCACATGGAGCTGTTTGGAGCCTGACGCACCAATCACTATTTCTCAAGGCAGAATGAATCAGAGGGTAGTTTGTGTTTTTGTAGGAGGCACTGGTCCTCAACCAGTGGGTTGATAATGCAAGAAGTATTGTGCTGAACTCCAAATATCTCATACTTAATGAGCACAGTAAAAGGCAAGATTATCATTATGGGGAACAGCAGTATGGGGCTATAACCAGGTAGCAGTGGTTGTTTATTTTTCTTCAACAAGTATATTTGATATGAAAGTGCAGTAGTAAAAACAAAAGTTTTAAGAAGTCACTAGATAGGAAACCTGAATTAAACTTATTAAGTTCAACAAAGCATTGCCCTTTGAGGACATTATAAATGAAAGCTATCAGTATTATATTTTGTTAGAAAAGGAACAGGCCACAAATACCCTTCAGTTTTGCTGAAAACTTAAATCCCGATTCACAGCAATTTCCGGAAGTCACAATTTTGAACCACATAACAGTCCATTTATCTCATCTTGACATTTTGTATTTATATATCTAGATATATACAGTAGAACAGTGTTCCATGGAGTCAATAATAGCTGAAAAATAACAAAAAATAACAAGAACCTACAGTAAACATCCATGATGGTAGCAGGGCAAGACCTTATTTTCTGTTAATAGGTAATGAAGGAGGCCAGTAGTTTATTCATTAAACTACTTTTTGGTGAACTGATACTTCATGAAAACTATTTTAAAAATCCCTTCATAAATATGTGTTTCTGTAGCAATGAATGAATTGAAGAAAGAAGAACCAAAGGACCGAAGACAGATTTGGCAAAGGACCAAGGATCAAAAACAGATGCAGTTAAGCCCTCAGTGGCCATAGATAAAGTAAAAGTATGCACAAAACAAGTAAAAGAAAAATAATAAAGGTTATTGTAAGAAATAAGGGATTTTGCCAATACCTCCTTGGATCCTTTGGAAAGAAGAACAACCATCACAGTGCACAGTATTCGTTCTAAGGTGCTAGAAATCAAAAATTTTCCCCTTATACGTTTCTTTGTACAGGTTTATGCTTCAAAATACTTATTTTTAAAGAAAAATTGCAGAATTCTTGTTGCCTTTTTAATAGTTTGGTACATAATTGTCAACACGTTTTTTTTTCTCTCAGCTGAGTACTGTGTTGCTTGAGTGGCCACCTGAGACCACAGTTAAACACACACTGCAAAGCACGCCTCCCCAACAGACTAACCAAGCACACTGCTCCTTCAATGTTCTTTTATCTAAAAGTACAATTACAACAAACTGCAGCTTCAAATGCTTTCCCATCTGGGCAACAAGCGTAGGAATGAACATCTTTTTGATGTTCAAATGTTCCTGCATAACGTTCCTACACTTACTCTGTTAGTAGTGACTTTACTCAGTCTTCAGAAAAACGTCTGAAGCACTGCAGATAATGAACTCCAGATTGTCCTTAAACTCTTTCTCAAGAAAAGTGAGATAATACAAGTACTAACCATTCCTAGAAAATCATTAAAATATCTTATTCAAAAACATAAAAGGAGTTTTCTCTGTAGGTGAGGGTTTTGTTTGTTTAGTGCATGTAGCATTTGTGCCTCAAAAATGAAAGAATATTAAGGGAAAAAAAAGAACATTCAGCAGTTCTGAAAACTGTTGGATGTATGCACACTCCACTGGAAAAAAACAGTAGATACACACAGCTGGCAAACACCTTCCTGTGGGATAACTAGAATACTCAATATATTCCTGGGTAATGATAGCAGAATGTACTAAACCTCTTTGCAATTGTGTTACAGAATTTCAGTACTGAACCCACTTGTAAAAATATCCTGTAGCTAAGTGTGTAAAATTTTCAATAAAATTACCGCTTTTCTGCCTCTGTGTCTCAGTAACTGCCAATAAAGAAAGCATAGATAATAGTGTGTGGTCTGGGAGATTTCTTTCTCGGCTGTTTCATAGATCTCAAGAAAACATAAAAATTTAAAACAATAAGAACAAAACATTTTTATTGTAGTTCCTGACACAGCCTTAGGACTGAACTGAGATCGCATCTAGTTAAAAAGTCGATCAATACAATAACTGTGTCAAAAAATTGATCTAAATGGTGCTTTATCACCACTTCTAGTGTCTTTCATCTGCCAAAAATGCAAAAATAGTACACCAAGAAAAGATCTTGATGATGAGAGATGAAATCTCCTCTATCTCTTGGGATCCTAGATCCCTATGACAACACATTGGTCCTTGACAAGATTAAGATTAATCTTTTCTCATTTTTTTTAAAAAAATTGTTCCTGACTTAAAATGAATGTAATTTTCCCACACAGACCACAGTGGGGTGACCCAGTGTTCTGTGGCCCAGAACAGCTGCATTATTTTGCAGCTCTCTTACAGTGGCAAACACTGGGGGATCTTTTATTCATTTAATAACATCTTTAATCACATACAAAAGACTGTAAGAATGGAGGACTTTTTGTTAAAAAAGCACTTTTACCTAAAAGAAAGGGTAGAGGTGTTACTGAAATAGTAATAAAAAGGTGTGCTTATTTCTTTTTAATATTCTACTTTCTCTTTTTCCATATTTTCTTTAAAAACTCTTTTAAACTGTTAAATATTGTAGAGCATCAGGGTCTCATTAACACTTCTGAATTACTAGGTCCATTGACGTTAATTTAAGAGACACTACTTGTTATATTTACTCATTAAGCATTAGCACTTGATGCTTTCTACTACACAGATGAAAAAAGTTCTTGAACCAGAATCATATCAATTTTACCCACTTCATATACACTTAGTTGAAAGCATTCAAATTCACACAAAGCAAGTGGGAAAGGAGGATCAGTCCCATGATCTCTGTTGATTATCAGTACCGATGTACTTTGAACTTTTTGAGTGCAGACGCATTCATTAATTTGCATGTGCATTAATTTGCAAACCCCACACATTTCATCCAGATTTATGTAACTGCCAGCAGATGTTACTGCCATATGAGAAGCCTATCACCTTACACTTTAAGCTAGTTAGTAAATAATCACTTTCATGACTGAATCTCATGGCATCCATGCAAATTTTGAAAGCTAGTCAGATATTCTGGGTCTGTTTTTTGTTGCTAGATGTCACTGAGGTCTGTGCTGCAAATTCGATGGTATACCTGCCTTCCTTCATTAGTGAAGAAACTTCAATAAATCCCACAATAACTGATCCCAGCTTCGCAGATAGCTCCTGAGACATCTCAATGTACAGGAGACATTAGTTAAATTATAAAACAGCCTTTGAACTGATTTAATCAGTTCTGATTGACATAAAAACCTTAAGGTCAGCAACGTATCATTTGTGCTAATTTCCTAGAGCAAGCTTAAATGTTTTAAGTGTCCACAAACTAAGTTGTATCAAATTAAAGGCAGTGTCATTGCAAATTAGTGCTGCTCAGGGACCACCAATGCTCTATCCTCTTCTGACTATTTATTTCTTTATCCAAAAAAAAAAAAAAAAAAAAAGAGTTTAGGCTCAGTAAAAGGACATCCTTCACAGAAGTAGCAAGTTAATCAGGAAAGGCTGATGTCTGAAAACATATAATTTAAAACTCGATGCCACCCAGAGCACACAGGGAAACTTTAAATACTGAATCTAAAGAAATGGTAAATAATGTCTCTTTGCAGAGAAGTAGAACATCTGCAGCTCAAAAACTGTTTTTCACTACACCACCAATGCAACAGAGCCATGATGACTACAGATTCATCACCTAAGCTTGCTTATAAGTGCAAGTCTGTAAAGCACTGCACACTCTGAAATTTGCTAAAAATATAGATTTCCATCTCTTAAGTTTCTTCACCAAATGTCGCAAATAGAAGGAATGGGCTTTGCAGTCAGTTGTTTGTTTATCTGTGGCTGTGTAGATCCTTTGGGGGCTTGGGTTTTGGCATTAGGCACTTGGCCAGCTGCTATTGCTTTCAGAAAAGTAATGTGCATTAAGAAACAATACACATATAATATCTTAACTGAAAAAAAATGTGATTCAAAAATTATGTTGTTCAAATATCTGTATACCAGAGAATATCAAATCCTTAAAAAGCCCTTCATTTTCCAGGAGCTCAGCTTCTAAATAGTGGATATTCATCCTACAGAACAATCTTATGTCGCAGCATCAGACTAGTACTTGGTTCTTTCCAAAAGAATATAAAATCTTCAAAGTTAAACATCAGTGTCCTAATTTTACAGACTGAAAGATAAAGAAGAAAAATTATGTATCCATTGATGACAGCAAGCTGAAATACTGCTTGCATGGAAGAGAATTTAAAGTTTACTGTAGATTTAATCAAGGCATTAATTCATCTGGGGAGTTTAAAGTATTTGATAGTGATGAATGCACCAGTAAAATTAGGAAAAGACTGCCTGATGTTGCTCTACTCTACCCCTGCATTAATAAATACCTTCTCTAAGCTCTGTTTTTAATAACATATTTAATTTGAATTACAGAATGAAGTTGTAATATTTTATCTTCACTAGTACTGGTAATAAACTTTATTCTCATGAGAGCAATGAATATAATGATCATGTCTGTATACAACTATAGGGATGCTGTATAGGATAGTCTCTACACTCAGAAATCACTATTCTTTAAATCGAAAAGAAAAAGATTAATTTTTATACACCTTCTGAGGCATAGTAAAAGAGATATCAAAGTACTGGAGATTTGTTGTTATTTCAGGTTTGTGTTTTAAAGTGCTCCAACAAACAGAAAATATTGAATACTGAAAATATTGAATCACACAGTATCATTCAAAAATACTTCCGGTAACAGATCCACTTTGTGTTAGGTTTACACTGTGCTATCTTTTTCATCAATAAAAATTGGTACTAAGTGAGGGGTCCCTTAGGCAGCTTGGCATTCTATGTCGGAGCTCCTCAGCTGAGATTCCTTGAGTGGCATCCAGAGATTGGATTCACTCGGAGGTCTGTTTGATCATGTGACAGTAACATTATTGAAGATTTTTGTTTTGTCTATCAGTACATTTAGTTCATAATGAAAATATAACTGTAGGCATCAGAAACATATTTTTGGTTGCATTAAAATTAGCCAAGGCCTGGAAATGTAGATTGCTATTTACCACAAAGAGAATTGGCAAAGTATTACTGATCTCTAGCAGTGTTGAACCTTTCTTGTCATTAGGCTGGTTTTCCATAAAAGAGAAGACCCTTAAAGTTAGATGCTGTAGTGATCTGTAAGCTCATTTTCTCGGCCACGGCACCACTGATCTTAGCATTTTGTTTCTGAATGTATTGTCTGGGTTTAATTGGAAATGATGCAAGGAGAAACTTTTTCAGTGGGGTATCTTTCTCCACTTTTTATCTTCTGCTTTTTCCAATTTTAGAAACTGAATTTCTCATGCTTTCTTAGCAGGGAGATACAAAAAAAAAAAAAAAAAAGTCTATTTTGACTCTGCAGGATGAGAAAATGTCCAGAACTTTTCTGCATTCAGCATATCAAACCAGTCAATCAGTAATCAAAACCAGTTGACTTCTGAAGACTATTCAATCATATAACATAAAGATTTCTTAAGGAATTGGTGATTATGATTAGCTCCCACCTGGGCAACCTAGTCCCTCAATTCACGAAAAAGCATGGAAAAATACTAGAAAAGAGTTCTTTTTTTTTTTTTTTTTTCTCGTTGAGTAGGGGAGGCTTAACCTGGACCCTGGACAAGTGGTGTGGTAATTACAGAGGCACTGGAAAAAAACAGGGGCAGCTGCACCAAAAGTATAAGGCAATAACAGATTTTTTTTCCTTCTCCCTTCAATTGTTTAGTAGTGCCCTTTACAGAAAAGGTCTTTTCCTTCATTTAAAATTCCCTAATTGCCTTTTGTTGCCACATCAAACCTCAGTGGTCATGCTGTTGCAGAAAAGACAAGAGAAAGCTAATGGGAAAAACAAGCCTAGTTTGGACCTTAGGAATGTGCTGGGAATACCCTCACTATTGACCATAATGAAAAAATATGATATCCTCAAGGGTAGATAGAAGGTTTATCCATACTCTGGGGAGATCCTGAAACAGGCTGAAATGCTACAAGAAGCTTGTTCCAACAGAAATATCACTGACCATCAGTACCCAGAGATTGCCATGTATCATCCTGCTGCTGCGGGAGATGGCTGGCTCCTCCAGTTCACTGCCTTACTTGCTAATCCTCTTAAAATGACCTTCTGTCAGAGTACTGTAATTCTTTTCTGTCATGCTAGTGTTTACCTCCAAATTATTCCATTTCCATATGCTTTATAACTGAAAAGAAAAATTGCATTGTCAAATTCTCCCTAAACTATCACACGTTTCTGTTTTACCTTTACCATAAACTTGTAGAAGAATGAAAGATTGACTTACCTGGCTGAACAATTTTTATCACCTTTTCCCAGGTTCCATCTGGAAAAGTTTGAATGGAGCAAAAGTAAAGACCAACATCTTCCAAAGTGCTCTTGACGAAGTATAAGGAGCTGTCTTCAGTGGAATAATTTTGAAAATAAATTCTCCCTTTGTATTTGTCACTAATATGTATGCCATAGACTGGATGCAAGGCAGCTATATTTTCTTTACAAGTTAGATTACTTTTCATCCAGGATGTCTGGATTATTGTGGCTTTCTTTGGGTATACACAATCCAGTTTCATCTTCTCTGTAAGCTTTACAGTTGAATCAACAAACATTCCTTCCACATGGGCTAAAACATATATGTAAATTTAGTCTCAGAATTAATGTCATTAAACTTTGAAATAATAGCAAAACTCAGAAATAACTTTGGAAGTCTGAAAAGTCTGAGGAAAAGGTACACTAAAAAAAGAGTGTTATCATTGCTTTTAACTTCCGAGTATGACTGAACACATAAAATCCTCTTAAATCATACAGTAAACTCTTGTGAATCACAATAGTATCTTTCATGATGTAAGAAAAAAATGAAAGTACATTAGCTAGGAGTAAGGCTAAGCATAAGCTAGGAATAATAAATCTTACGTCCATAAAACTGAAGAGCAACAATAAGGAAAGTTACGCGGTCCATCTCCAAGAATCCTGGACTCGGTTATTGTGCGATAGGGTTTTACTCAGTCTCTGTGCACCATGAGCTGTGCTTCCCGGAAGCTTTCCTGCTTCTGAAGCGTGAAAGGCATCGTGTGCTTTTTACTTTCACATTCTATAGACATGAAATTTGAGATCTTGATGCAGCTGCATCAAAGAGACACTCACTGCCAGTCAAAATCTACCTGATAGAAAAATTCTACTTCTGTCATTGCAATTCAGCATTTATCTCTTATTCAGGGAGCACAACACTTGGAAAAGAAGATGATACTGTTACGTATCCATTATATATCTCTCTGAAATTTTAATTTTGTGGCTAGTTATGAAAAGTAAAGTCTTAAGTTCAGAGTCTTTGTTGATTAAGAAATAGTATTTTGGGATCATAATTATGCAACTTGCTTAAGAATCCTCAAGTATTTGTGACCTATGTTGAAGTCTGTCAGCATAAAATTCATTCTCGCAATCCTATGATTTTTTTTTTTCTCAGAAGCCTGGTTGTATGTTTTTGCACTTCAGTGGCTATAAAAGCTGAAAAAAATGTAGTGATTGATTTGATGGATTTGAAATCAAAATCAAACTTGAATCAACAGGATAAAATTATGAAATGAATAAACAGATGTATTTATAAAAATTTTGACAAAATAAAATTGTAAAGGTTACTTTGCTTGATCTTTGAAACTCACAATTTTGTCTTCTTGTTATCTATAAAAAGCTTCACTTAGGATTGAAGTCTTTTATTTTTCTTCTTCTGGATGGCTTATCCTAGGATGGCCTAGGAAGAAGATCTGAGATTCAGTGTGAAAAGGCAGAATTTTTTTTTTATTTATTTGTCATGGTTTTTATTTTTAAGAATGAATTTTTTTTTAAGGATGATCTGTTGTTTTGGATTTTTTTTTCTGTCTGAAAGGTGTAGACTCATTAAGTAAAGGCCATTGTTCTAAGCAAACTATTCCCTAAATAAGAAATGTTTTTTTGTTTGTTTGTTTTTTGTGACAAAGTTGTAGTCTTTAATTCAATAGGTAGACTACAGATCAAAATCTCCTTAGAAACAGAAAGATAGGGTAAGTGAAATCTTTTCTGAGAAAATTGAACTCAACCTTCCAAATGATGCATGCTTAATCAAAATGACTCATAAAATTTTCTAATGACCTTGTCTTCACAGTCTCACCACTTGTTATTTTTTCCATTTCAATTACTTCTATATTCTGAGCATTTCCTTAAATACTGGAACTTCACAGCAGTGGAAACTTTGAACCCTAACAAAAATTTACAACTTGGCTTACTTCATTTAAGCAACTTCAAATTTTCTAAGAATAAGACCTGCTAATAATTCAGCAATTGAACTTTTCCTAAGCCAGACTGAAATCTGGGTTTTCAAAATATTCCTAGACAGCCAGTGGCCTATTTGATGCTAGGTGTAATAATCCAAATAGAAAAGAATTGAGTTCAACACTCAGTGTTTTATTAGTCTTACAGAGTTATCGTTTTCAAACAGATCAAAAAGATTACCATCTATTTAGCTTGCCTCAGGAAATAGAGGCATTTCTGATAAGAAATGCAGGAAATGGGAAGTTCCAGAAACTAATTTACAGATTTTGTATTGTATTTTGGAAAATAAAGGATTTTGTGAGGCAAAGAGATCTGACCCTAGATGCTGCACAGCCTTGTGAGATGCCCTGTGGCTTTTGAACCAGCTGTGCAAGGTCAATATTTTCTACATTTAAATCTTTATTAAACTCAGTTACTAGCTATTCTCAAACTGTAGTTGTAAGTGAGGAGACGAATAGTCAAAGTATCTCTATAGGTTGGAATATTATTCTTCATGTCATGCTGCACATGTATTTTGTAGTGTACAGACTGGTGTTATTTCACAACATCTAAAGTGGGAAGTAAAAGATAAATGTATGTTAATAACTCTTTTTTATTATTATTACAAATTAACCTTCCTACACATCTGTTTTCCTTAATTGAAGCTAAGATGAAGTATTCAGGAAGTCTCCTAAATGAAGACAAATTCCTTTGAAAGAAAATTATTCCTCACTCATCTGTTTATATATAAATTACTCTTTTATTGGTCTGAATTTCATGCTCATTTCTCTCCATTTGGCATTAAAACAAAAACAGAAGAATATTAACTTCCAGTCCCGCAGCATGATGACTAAGTACCATTGATATAATATGTTGTCTAAGTACATTTATTTGTAGTGAAATAGACACATTTCCTATAAAAGTCATGCCAGGGTCTCCTGGCATCTAATTCCCAAAACAGGGTCCCTTGCCACATCTGCTAAAAAAAGCAGCCTGTGACAGAAATGTTACTGGGTCACTGTGAAAAGGCTGGAATAAAAGTCCCTTCTGGGTGCTTGGGCAACATGGCCAGCACAAATTAGAAAACTGCAGGCTTCGTGAAAGCTGACTCTACAGAGGTGACCTGGGAGCAAGCACACACTTCCAGTACCACGTTTTCACATGTAGAAAATGTAACTTAAAATAGTATAGCTAGAAAAGCAGAAACAGAGCATCTCCATCCTGCTGTTCCCGGATAGCAGTACTGGAGCAGGTCCCTCTGGCAGCCTGTTCCCTTCAGGCCTCCCGTCACAGCCTCCCTCTCTTCTGATCATCCTTAGCACCAAAAATTCACATCTGATAGTAGTGATCTGCAGTAATAGAAACACCTATAGCATCTATACAGTTCATGCTCACCCCATTGGCATTAAGACTCTCCCTCTCCTGCTCCCTGCCTGCCATCCTTGCCCTTCTTTCCAAGGAATTCCACCTTCTCTTTGTTCTTTGAGGCTCAAAGGAAGGAGCTGATCCCAAAGATATTCAAGCTATATTTAACTAACTGTTAGCTAAATACCAGTTGCATTTTGAACATAAAAACCGCATGGTGGAATTGTCCAGCTGAATGCTTAACTGCTGGATGTTGAAGGAAAAGATAGAAAGATAGAGGTAGAGGAGTGTGCAGTGAATATAGTGGAGATTTTACAACTTGAATTTTAATCTTGTCTTAAACGTACTTCTTCTGTAATCCTGGATGAGTCATTTCACTTCCTGGTGCATTCATTTCTCAAACTCCAATATATAGATAATATACTATGAGCACAGCTGATTTAAAGTATGTCAAAACGATCTCTATAATGAGTCTTTTTAATGGAAATTGCTAAACAAGTGTGAAGAGTGAGATATATATATAGGGTCAGCGCCATATGTTAATACCCTTTCTAATGATTTATTAGTATTTAAGATGTAACAGATATAGACAGGCCTGCAGCAATAATAGAGAAAGAGAGGCAAATATACTCTCAGACTGCCACTGCTGCCAGAAACACGTCCTAGGCTGTGGCAGAGTAGTGAAGCCGGTGTTAGCTAAAAAAGGAGACTGTTTCAGGCACAGCTTCTATACCTTCAGCTCTGGAAAGGATCTGGATAGTTTGTTTAGTTTCAGTTATGGTCAAGGGAAAATAAAGGAGCAAATGAGTTGAGCAGAGGGAGGATTTTGTTGCCTTGCTGACTACTTGTCTTTGAGCTGAGCCTCCCCTGAGCTTATATCTTCCCCCGAAAGGCAGGTTAACCAAACTAGAAAGGCAGTTCAAATACGAATCATATAGTTCCCTATTCTCATGTTGCTAGCATACAACCATTAAGGAAATTACCTCCTTTTCTGTTCACCGTTCTGTGTTTCCTTAAACAGGATGGCTGAGTAGTACAGCAGGATAAAGGCGCATAATTCAATTTTCTTTTTCCTATTCTGCATCTAATCTAATTCAATCAATAAAGCACTGGATTAACGCACAAGCATGCCTGAGTCAGTGGCATACTACATAGGTATCTTTAGTATCTATTCATTAACCTTAAAGGAGAAGTTTAGTTAATGCCAGGTATTATTCCAAAGAGAAAGAAGAAAGAGGAAAGCTGTGAATTTAAAACAAACACATTTTAGAGATATTTTAGAAGTCAAAACGTTTTAGAGGTCAAAACAATTCAGAGATGTGAATGTAGAAGATTTACCCAAATATAGAAAAGGAAAGAAAACACAATCTATGTAGTTAAGTACTCAATATTTTTTATTAGTACACATAATGGCCTCAGAAACATGATACTATATATAGCATCTGTAACGAAATGCTTCAGGTCCAAGCAATCTACCTTTGCAAGAGAACATAAAGGACTATATTTTTACTTTCATGGCACTAGAAATTTATTAATTTATGTTTTTGGAACTGGGCTACAAACTAGAGGGTCATTCTGCCATAACATGGAGCACCAGCTGAAAATTGTTGGTGATAAAACAACAGCTACATCATATGAAGGCTAGCATTGACACTAAACATTGAAAATAGGGTAGTGTTGTTTGGTTTTTTTTGTCTTTTCAAGGAGGTTCATTGTGACTAATTGATGACATTTAAACTATAGTGAGCTAATGATGAGATATACTGATAACATAAGTTTGTGGCTAAGGAAGTGGAAGAAACAGCACTGCTGAACAAATGCTAAACTAGACATCCTAAAGCACTCGTCTCGCAAACTGTCAAGCGAAAAGGGTGTTGCTAAGAGATAAGAAGGTCTGTGGTATTTCTTAAATTCACTGTGTAAATACTGTTCCTTTGATGTATTCGTAGCAAGAGAGTCTGCCTGTGACGATTTACTG